ATTTGATTACAGTCGTAAGTTGTAGTCATTTATCTCAGCAAAGCAACAGAAGAAATAAACATGGCAGTTTAGAAAAAATAAAAAAACATGTCCAACGTTGAGTCGTTGACAGTGGTCCAGTTATCGGTACAACACCGTTTACTTTGTGCATTCATTGGCACATAGCCGCGGCGCCAAACATTACGTTTCCGACCTCCCGCTCCACACGTTTATTGCCATATGTCAATCTTTAAGACCCGCGTTTCCTCACGCGATTCTTATTTTGATGGAGCCGCGACCTTTTTTATTTTACCGTTTGAAATTTTCAAATGTCTCATTGTGTGTCAGACTTTAATACCACTAAATGGTGTTCTACAATAATGGCAAATCCGTGAATCTACTTAACGGGAAGGGGTATGTGGGAGAATGTGTCATCAGGGACGGTGTATTGGGACGGGCTAAACCAATCCAACCTTTACCTTCTCCGTTATGCGCTTTATGGGAAATTTCAACTAATTATAAACTAAAAATACTATTTAAAAACTGAAAATTCAATGATACGCCTTTTATTTTTGACCCCGAAAGTCTCAAAATAAATTGTTTTTAAACCCTAATGATTCGCCTTTTCTTAAAATGTACCCCGTTTGTCTTCGAGGAGAGATCTCTGGTCCACAGTTTCTGATATACAACTAAAATTTATATTCTTTTCTTTCCGGTTTGCATTATGATTTTTTCTCTTTTTTTTTGCACTTTATCCCTCCTCGAAGAAACCTATACAACACGTAATGCAAAAAAAAAATTCTTTTAAGTTTCAAAGGAGAAAAACAACGCACAAAGAAAGAAAAAAGAAACAACAATTTGAATAATTTCATTATTAACGATATATTTAATTTTTTGTACCGTTTAAGATTCTGTAAGAATACTGTTTATTTGACATGTTTGCTTACAGAGTTTGGAATCTCTATATATATACTTAAAAATGAAATGTTGGTTGAACAGAGCTGACACAACACCTGTGACTATTTGTCGGGACACATGTGTAAGAAGCAAAGCCCTTCATGCTTTCTTGCTTCTCTTGTTTTTGCCTGGACGTCTTTTATATATCGATATTTTTATTTTTATACATCTTGTTAATAATTAAGATTTAGATCTCATATTAGTATGTTTCGTCTGAAAAGGTATAAAAGAAAGTGGGTGTACACAAAAATAAGTAATCATGCCAATGCTTTAGGATCATTACTAGCGATACCAAATTTAAATTTTGCAATGAGTATTTTTCTTCTCGACTGTATCCACATTCAAAACTATTTATTCTATAGTTACCAATAACAACACGGATTTAGGCCCAGTAATGTAATTGGAGACTTAATAAAGGTCATTTTATTGATAAGTGTCATTTTATTGATTAATGCGTAAAACTACTTTTAGTGACCAAATTACCTAACTACTTAAAGTGTGACCAATATCAATGAATATATTTTTCTCATTCTATAAAATGAACATATACATCAATAAAAAATAAAAACACATCAGTGAATATATTTTTCTCATTCTATAAAATAAAACTAAAAAGCGAATCACAGAAAAAATGCTATTATTTAAATTACAATTAAAGAAAATATTGTTTATTTATGTTCTTCGATATCCTTTGTAGCTTAAATTTGCAAACATAAAGCTGAATGGTCCAAAATTTAGCAATAGTGTATTCAATAGAATAATTTGTTTGTAAAATATCCAAAACATTTAGATATTATAATCAACTTACAATTTTTAATTGATTCAGTTTTCGCTATAAAAATCTTGTCACCGCGTAAAATAGAGACAAATTAAAAGGAATATGGAAAGAAAATATTTGAAGATCGTAAAATCACAAAATATAAACCCACCCAAGGCCAGATGGAAACCTCATATTCATTTTCTCTCTCTCTCTCTCGTCTTCTCTTTCTCTCTCTATACCTAAACCTTTTTTTTTTTTTGATAAGACTCTATACCTAAACCTATAGCTCTCTCATACGCAAGCTCTTATCTCTTCCTCTTAAAAGCTATTCATAACACACACAGGACCTTTTGGTTCTTACAGATACAATCTTAGAAATGGAAACTTGGAGATGTTTCTTAGTGTTCATGTCTCTGTTCTCCAGTTTAGTTTCTGGATTCACTCTGCAAAATCTTCCAGTTACGTCCTTTGAAGAAAGTTACACGCAACTTTTTGGTGACAAGAACTTGTTTGTTCATAAAGACGGCAAATCTGTCCGGTTAACGCTCGATGAAAGGACCGGTACGGTTATAAATTTCCTCTGTTTTCTCGGTTTAGTCATGATTTAATTTGCTTCTTTTATTGTTTGTTTTCAGGTTCTGGGTTTGTCTCAAATGATCTTTACTTACATGGATTATTCAGTGCTTCAATCAAGTTACCTTCTGATTACTCAGCTGGAGTAGTTGTTGCCTTTTATGTAAGTGAAATATTTTTGCTTAAGTTTTAAGCTGTTATTAATTTGATATTTTTTTGTCAAAAAAATATGATTAATTTCACTATTAGGATATTGACTATTTTTTTTTTTTTTTTATTTTTTCTACTTTCAGATGTCAAATGGAGATATGTATGAGAAGAACCATGATGAGATTGATTTTGAGTTTCTTGGTAATATTAGAGGAAAAGAATGGAGGATTCAGACAAATATTTACGGTAATGGAAGCACTCATTTGGGAAGAGAAGAGAGATCTAATCTCTGGTTTGATCCAACTGAAGATTATCATCAATACAGTATCCTCTGGTCTGATTCTCACATCATGTAAGTTAAAATGAAAAAAAAACTCCAAAAACTTATTTCTCTATTAGTTCTCTGTGTTTGTTTGATTGTCTTAAATAAAATAAAATAACCTTAGAATCTTTGGAAGGAGGTTAGGTTCTTGACCCCATTTGATTTAATATCCTTCAATGTCTATCTTCTTTTTAAGGAAAATTCAAGTGGGGCTTAATGTTTTGTGTTTATTTTTGCTCAAATTTCTTGATGGATTTAAATCTTTATTTCTTCTAGTGGAAAGTTTTGTGATGCTTGGGACATCATTTGTTTTTATTCCTGTCAATTTTCAAGTCTGTGAGCCCCAAGAATGGTTTACAGCTTTTTATTTTTGGCATCAACAAAGACCCCATGCAGAGTTGTGTTTTCCTTTGGGGGGTCCAATCCATGTTGAAAATCTTTACTTAAGTTCATCAAAAGCTGGAATTAATATGCCAAAAATGTTATCTTTTGTGAGTTAAAGTTTTCTTGGTATCGATCCAGATCGTAATTTCCTCCACTAAAGTGGCATCGATGACTCATACAGAATCTAACTTTGTTTATAGGAAAAAATATTTAATTTTTTAACCAAATATGTTTATTTTTTGGGATAATAATCTTTTTCAGCTTATTATTTTGTGGGTACTGATCAAAATTATATTTCTTGTTATGCAGATTCTACGTAGACAACATTCCTATCAGGGAGGTGAAACGAACAGCGTCGATGGGCGGTGACTTCCCATCAAAGCCGATGTCTCTCTACACAACAATATGGGACGGTTCTAAATGGGCAACTAACGGTGGCAAGTACGGTGTAAACTACAAATATGCCCCTTATGTCGCACAACTCACTGACTTAGTCCTTCATGGCTGCGCTGTGGACCCTATTGAGCAGTTTCCAAAGTGCGACGAAGGAGCTGACGAGGATATCCGTGCGGCTCAGGAGATTATCCCGTCACAGAGGGTTAAAATGGGCATTTTCAGGAGGAAGCACATGACATACTCGTATTGCTATGATCGGAACAGGTACAAGGTTGCTCTACCTGAGTGTGTGATTAATCCCGCAGAGGCTCAGCGGCTTAGGGTTCATGATCCGGTCACGTTTGGTGGGATTCCGAGGCGTCACCGTAATGGAAAGCACCGGAGCAAGAGAAGCCGTGTTGATGGAACAGAGTCGATATGATGAGATATATAAAGTTATTGTGTTTGGTGGGGGTTTCTATAATAAGTCCATTTTATTGGTATTTTTATTTTTTTTTTATGTTTGGTGCATTTTGAGAGTTATAGTGGGCATTTTTGTCATTTGTTGCGTGTATATGAAATAAAATAATTTATTTATTTTTATTTGAGAGATTTGGGGTTCTACAACTCTTATATGATAGATAATGTGTAGTTCTTGTTTCTGTGGATGCATATTCCGTTTACGAATATTTGGGGGTTGTAATTTCAGTTTTCTGTTGATATTTATTGTCATTTTCTTGTTGTATATACAATCTTCAGTTTTTATTTAATTCAATTTGGGTACTTTATAGACAAAAGATTTGTCCCTCTTGTGCTTGTTTTATTCAAGGGGTCCAATGAAATATTATTCGATTTAATTTGGTGTGGCCATGTTCATGCACATATTTGTATACATGCAATGACAATGTATATGCAATCATTAAGTCGGGCGTAAAGCATAGAGAAAGAACTCATGACCTTGTGGTTATGTTTCAATTTGTAAAAATATGGATAATTCTTTACATTAACCAAAAAATTGCCAAAAAACATAGTATGAAATAACTTTGCATTGGCCATAATTATAATATGACGTTGTACTTATAACTTATCTCATTTACATAAATTCATAGTTGGAGTAAACAATAGAGTTCGATCATATTCTAAAATCTTTTGAAAACAAAAACGATTTTTGGCTTAGCTCATTATCAACGTCGAGCTTCGCAGTTTAGGGACCATCTAAAGAGATAAGACTGAAAAAAAACTGGCATTAGCTCAGTTCTCATTGCGTTGTTTTAGACGATGCTCTTTGTCCTGCCAGCTATTACCCCACTGGAACCCTCTACATGCTTCCAAAGCTCTTGCCACGCAACTAGTTCCTATCCCAAAAACAACTTTCTCTCTCTTCTGCCTTTTCGAACCGGGTCAGGTCAGATCCGTCGGATCAAGTGAACTCGAGTCGGGTAAATATTGGTCGGGTCGGGTTAAAAGAAAAAAAAAAAATCTTCTTCTTCCTCGTCTCCTCTCTATCTCAATTTCATTTTCAATCTCAAAACCCTAGCTGCTCCCGATTCAATTAAGCTAAATTACTCTCGATTCGTATTCAATTCACTGTGAATTAGAAAACCCTAAATTCGAATTTTGGAGGAACGATGATGCATTGTTATATCTCTTCATCACTTAGCTTCCACCCGAATCTTCAACACCGACCAACAACAAAAGTCAACGCAAAGAAGAAACTCACAAAGAATCTCCGTAACCCACGCCGTACCAAGCTCCCTCCTGACTTCGGTGTCAACTTATTCCTAAGAAAACCCATTACACAACCCTTGTCACCACTACAAGAACAAGAACAACAAGAGCCTGAAGAGGAGGAGGATACTAATGTCTGGGAACCAAACGAAATCGAAGCAATCTCATCTCTCTTCCAACAAAGAATCCCTCAAAAACCAAACAAACCAATCCGAATCAGACCGTTACCACTTCCTCAACCTCACAAGCTACGACCTTTACCTCTCCCAACACCAAAACACAACATCAAGAACAAGAAACCTGTCCTGTCCTTATCGAAAGACCCGACCTTTCTCATAACTTTAGCTAGAGACATCAAAAACTTACCTTCCCCTGAAGCAGACGTCTCTCTTGTCCTCAACAAATGGTCAACCTTCTTGCGTAAAGGCTCACTCTCCACGACAATTCGTGAGCTTGGTCACATGGGTTTACCCGAGAGAGCGTTACAGACTTACCGTTGGGCGGAGAAGCATTCTCATCTCTTCCCTGATAACACGATTTTAGCATCTACCATCCAGGTTTTAGCTGAGCATCATGAGCTGAAGCTGCTTAAGTTTGATAATAGCTTGGCGAGCAAGAATGTTATCGAAGCGATGATCAAAGGATGTATCGAAGGTGGGTGGCTGAACTTAGCTAGGAAGCTTTTACTTATCGCTAAGAGTAACAATAGGGTTCTTGACTCGAGTATCTACGTTAAGATGATTTTAGAGATTGGTAAGAACCCGGATAAGTACCATCTTGTGGTTGCTCTTCTTGATGAGTTGAAAGATAGAGAAGACTTGAAACTGAGTCAGCAAGACTGCACGAGTGTGATGAAGATATGTGTGAAGCTGGGGAGGTTTGAACTCGTTGAGTGTCTATTTGATTGGTATAAAGAATCTAACAGAGAGCCGAGCGTTGTGATGTATACTACGATGATACATAGCCGGTATTCGGAGGAGAAGTATCGAGAGGCGATGAGTATGGTTTGGGAGATGGAGGAATCTAACTGTCTTCTTGATCTTCCTGCTTATAGAGTAGTTATTAGACTCTTTGTGGCGTTGGATGATTTGGGAAGAGCGATGAGATATTACTCTAAGCTTAAGGAAGCTGGTTTTACTCCAACTTATGATATTTTTCGAGATATGGTTAGTGTTTGTATAGCTTCTGGGAGATTGACAAAGTGTAGAGAGATATGTAAGGAGGTTGAGGATGCTGGATTGAGGTTGGATGCAGACACTTTGTGTAGGTTGTTGCAGCTTGAAAACCATACAATGTCTCTATAAGTATGAATGTGTATTCTTTAATTAGAGATATAACATTTTAGTCAATACAAGAAAATGCTATGATTATGTAAAACACTTTGTGGGTTTACTGTTTGATAGTATTTTCAGGAAAAGAGGAAAGTGGAAACTGAACGAGTTCAGAATCAGACATAGCAACTGTCTTGTCTGCTGGAACTGATTCTGGTCCATCCATGGATGGTTTTATCACTGTAAAGAACAAGACATTATAGAACAAAGTAAAACCTAAGAGAAGGAAAGCTGTAGTTGTGAGGAAGGATCCAGACATCTCAGGTGGTTCTTCAAACATGAAGGGATCCATTGATGAAGAACCTCCACTACTTGTTCTGGCAACATCTGATGATGTCTTGACGATGATTCTTGGTTTTTCATCAGCTTGAGATTCGATTTGTTGGTCAAGCTGTTTCAGAGCTTCTCTAGCTTTATCTCTATCGATTTCGAAACTCTGTGAAGAAGATGAGTCTTCTCTTTCGGTAGCTCTTACAATACCCATTAGATGTTTTTTCTTCTTCTTCTTCACCATGAATCCTCCATGTACGTAACGGTGAAGAGACTGTATCCCTGACACCACCATTCTCTGTTTCCTCTGTTTTTTCTCTTCTACGGCTCTTTGATGATAAACTGTTGTGTGTGGACATCGTTGTTGGCAAAATTGGCAGATACCACAGGCTTTTAGTGGATTTTTAATTGTCATTTTGATGATTATGGGCCAGAATAAACGCTTTAAAGGCTCATTTGAAAGTGTGTTAAGGCTTCAAATAAAATGGTACGGTATCTATACTATTATTTACCTTAATATCTATAAAGGAAAATTCCATATAAATACCCCAACTAAATTATATTAAGTTTTTTAATACCCAAACTTTTTCACTACCCAGTTTAAAACCTCAACTAATTATTCTGCCCACTTTAATACATCAACTTTTATAACTGTATCCATTTTAATACTCAAACTTTGTTTATTTTAATTAACAATACTAATAAGTTTCCAATGAAATTTTAAAAATGTCAAAACTTCAGAAAAAAAATTAATTTTATTATATGTTTGAGTAGCGAAATTAAATAAGTTTTTTATAATCTTAAGTTTTGTAATAAATTTTTTAAGTTTTTTATATTGAATTTAGTTTGTTTTTAAATAAAAAGTAAATTATTATTTTTCCTTCAAAAACTTTTTTTTTAAAACATTAAATTTTCTACAGAGTTTGTTTACCTTATTTCTTAAATCTTCAAATAAACTTAGAAAATTTAAATATTTTTTCTTAGATTTTGGAGATTTTTTAAAATTTCGTATGAAATTTATTAGTATTGTTAATTAAAATAAAAAAAGTTTGAGTATTAAAATAGATACAGTTATAAAAGTTGGTGTATTAAAATGGGTAGAATAATTAGTTGAGGTATTAAACTGGGTAGTGAAAAAGTTTGGGTATTAAAAAACTTAATAGAATTTAGTTGGGATATTTATATGGAATTTTCCCTATCTATAATGACCTTAATTATATATATACTAGGTGTTATGCCCGCATATGCGAACTTAATTTTCTTACGAATATTTATTATTATTTTTTTAGTAATTTAAAATAATATTATAAGTTATTTTTTTATAGTTTTTAAAAACCTAAATCTAACTATTCATTAAGAATGATATAAAAGAATTATCATGTTGTTACAATATTATTTGCAGATAAAAATACAATATATAAGAATTATCTTTTTTTTTTAAAAAAATAAATTATTTTTGATAATTATATTATACTAATTTATAATTATCTTAGAAAACATATAAATCTAATATTATTATATCAAATTCGTTTTTAATTATATTATAAATTATAGATATATTTCATTAAGGGTATAATCGATATTAGCCGCTTGAACTTTTAACGTGAGAGCTCCGTTGCGAAAAATCACTTCGCAATAATAGTATAGATATACATTATTTAAAAGCAAATTTATATTACTAATATTAGATTTCTATGTTGTTTTAAAAAATTGATGATAAATTAATATAATAAAAATATTAAAAATAAAATCATATTATCAAAAATAAAATACTTTTTATATATTTTTTCTTGTTATCTAGAAATAATATTGCAACAATATGATAAGTCTTATATGTATATATATATTGTGATTTTATATATAATTTTTTTCTTTTGCTTCTGAAAATAATGTTATTCTATTATAAAAGTTGAAAATAATATATAAAACAATTTTCTAATTAAATATTAATCAAATAAAACCGTTTGTATAAAGATATTATCTAAAATATTTTTAATATGTGAATGGTCTTAGAATTTCAACACAAAAATAAATATATATAGATGATGAAAAACTTTGTTAAATATAAATAATTGGACTTCCCATTTAAATTTTATGAGAAGGTATCATACTAATTTTTTAATTAATAAGACATCCACTACTCATAAAAAAAAATTACATCCGCACATGGAGGTAAAACACCTACTTTAATTTATACACTTCATTTGATGAAATCTCAAGATTCATATAAAATATTACAAAGTTGGTCGCTGAAATAAGCAACATTTAAGCCTTTTTCAGATAAAAAAGCAACAATTACAATAAGTTGAAGCCTTATTTTGATGCTCTTATAAACTTATTTGATCACACAATTTAGCAATTATATATAATTTTATCGAATTACAATAACTTGAAGCAGAAGAAATCAAAGATGTGCACATCAGGTGGTCTCACATACTCCACACAACAATCGAAACGGATATATCTCTTACAAAGAAACAATCTCACACTTGCTCACAAAAAAAAATCGCAGATTCAAACATGTTTGAATCTCTCTCTCTCTCTCTCTCTCTCTTTCTTTAGAGGAATAATCTTCACTAGTGGCCAAAAGTTTTGGACAAGGTGAATTGGTGAAGAACATTTCCGGAAACGTCATAGTAGATGAACTTAGTCTTAGAGCGAGTGATGTGAAGAGACATGAAACCTTGTCCGTCGTAATAAAGTTTGAGTTCTTTTGGATCCACCGGCAGAATAACTCCTCTCCATGCCTTTGATCCTCCTCCACTTGTCAGAAATTGAATCCCACTTCACCAATTCAATCAAATCAAATGAATTAGTATTTAGTTTTTGTTTTGTTAATTGACATAAAAACTCAACAATTCAAATAAAATTACTATATAAAAATGATTTCGTGTTTTTATTTCATAAATGAATGTAAACCAATACTCCTTACTGATTAAAAGAAGATGTAAAGTAGAAATTTACCGTTCGGACCCAATGTGTTGCAAGCAATGATCATGTCCGTTCATGTACACGTCCACTTTATTCCGCTTCATAAAAAAATAAAAGATTTATGCAGAGTACTAAACAAATATTTCATACAAAAGATCACAATAATAGTAATAATAAATAATAACAAATGATCTAATGATTGTTAAATAATTGCCTCTAGGATTGGAAGTAAACAAGAAAACAATTTACCTCTAGAATTGGAAGAAGTTGATCGATAAGCTCTTGGGTCGGACCATGTTCACCAGCGGTTTTGATCCCATGATGTCCCACGACAAATTTCCATGTGGCACGCGACTTGTTAAGCGCTGAATCTAAATCCTGATATTTTTAATAGCAGAAAAATAGAATTATTAGACAATATCAAAACCAAGATGGAGTTTCTGACTATCAATTTTTCAGAAACAAAATGTATTACGTGTAAGAGGTTGGAGATATATCTATCCTTGGGTAACACGTTGCTCCAATCATAAGTGTGGTCTTCTGGATCTGTGAAGTATTCTTCTACAAATGGAGTTGTGTCCACGAAGAAAAATTCTACCATTCCTATAATCACCAAAACAAGTATCGTTAATCAACCAATTTGTGTAGTAGTAAGTGATAGTGCATAGATATATCTTGGTTAAACGCTATTTTCCTGGGTTATCATTGGGAGTTAACTTAAATAAAGATAGTACCGTATATAATACAACCATCAAAATTCATATTCTGGTCACATATAATATTTACTCGAAATAACAAAATTGATCTAAAAATTAAACTTATCTATTACTTTGGTTACAAATTATTGTTCTTGTTCTATAGAAAATGAAAACTAATGGAGCTAATAAAAGAACAAATATCAAAATTTTGAATTTAAAAGAGTGTTTAAAAGATATGTTATACTATAGCTTAATTTCAAGCTTAATTAAGTATAAGTTTAGACCGTACCAATGCAATGTACATTTATATATCCAAAAATTCCAACAAACCTTTCTACCAAATCCGTCTTTACCGTCATTAGTCAAATCTAATGGATGCATGAAAAGTAAAAACAAGAAATAAAAAATAACCTGAAAATAAGACGAAAGATCTGCGACAAATCCATCTCTCATCTTTTTGGGTGAGAACATGACTTAGTTGTGCTGAAACATTTCCTCTGTAATCATGGTTCCCCAAAACTGCAACAATATCAGAGTTTGAACCCTCAAGCGTTATTATTCAAAGATAACACAATTACTATTAGTGATTCATTAATGGAAGTTATATTACCAGAATACCACTTTTTTTGGAGACTAGGATGAGTGTAAATATGAGAGAATGAAGATTCAAAAGCAGGGTCAGTGTCGTTTTTTAAACCGTCGTCGTAGAAATTATCTCCGACTGATATCACATAATCTATGTCTAGTTGCTCCCCCACAAGTCCCATCTGCCATTTTTGCAAAACATTCAGTTTATATAAATTAATTCTTGATTTCCCAATTTTTTCTTATTAAGTTACATTGTATCATGGTTTTCTAGAATATGAAAATATATGAGAGCGTTATTCGAATTACGATAAAAACTACTATTGAAACTCTTTTTACTTCTTTGCCAAACAAAAACTTAGTTGTAAGGAGAATGTGTGTAATGTTGGTTTTATTAATGAATGCAAACTTCATCTTCTTTGTTCATCATTTAGGCAAATATTAGCTGGGTTTAGGGGTCAACCCGCGGATCAAGTTTTTTTTCTTTTAACTTAAAATTGCCGCAATATGCGTTGTAATTAAATGTATCAACGTTTCAATTACAAGAATATTTACAGGAATATGTTGTTCAATCATTTTCAATCAATTCAATGTATATTGCGTAGAACGAATGACTTCCTATTAGAAAGATATGTACGCGTACGCAACATACAAATATATGCTCAAATATTGAATGTTTAAATGGAGAACAAACTAACTAACAACCATATTTATTTAAAAAAACACATTTCCTAACAAATCAAACCTAATCATTTGGGTGGCATGTGCAAATACATACTTCAGACAAGAAACAAAAATTCAGCCATAACTTAATGTAAATTATTTTTTGGTATTTGACTACACGTGACTACGTAGGCAGGTCATACATTAAAGTCGATTTTTCTGTCACTCCAACGAAAGCATAAATCTTCAATAATAAACACATAGTACTATTCATTAATTTTTTGACTTTTTTTTTTAATTACCTGTTGAGCAACGAGAGATTGATTAAAACCTCCTTGTCGTCCCCAATCTCCGACGACCAGAATGTCCAAAGAGCCATCAGATTTCGTCACCGGATGCTTCAACCTTTCAAGCTTTGACAAAGAACGACTGAAGAACATACATAGAATAAGAAGAATAAAACGCACACTGAACATCTTCATCTTAGTTCTTCTTAATTACTCTCTTTTCTTAATAAAACCCAGAAAAGCTAATGTATATATTGAGAGAGGGAGGGATATAGGTGCCAATTTATATAGATGAATCCGTAAGGACAACCTGGTCAATAAATTATATAAAATCATTTCTCAAAAAAGAAGTTATATAAATCATTTTATTATGTTTGTTTTTGTCAACTCATTTTACTATGTAAATTAAGAGGACTCTTGAGTCTTTGAAGAAATTATATAAACAATACAGCCTTTTCTAATATTATATATTTTATTAGTCTTTGACCAGAAAAATATTATATATATGTTTTCTTTTTATTAGTCTGGACCATGCTAAATTTAGAATATCTGAATTCGTTAGATCCATGATTTTTGTATTTGAATCGGATTCATGTTTTATATCTCAATTTCAGATATCCGTCTAGACATTATGATACTCGCGGATATCCAAATTTTGATCCGTAAAAAAAATTAAATTAAATGAAAAATATTTAAAAATACAAAGTTATAAATATAATATTTACATTGATATGTATACAAAATTTATGAACATATACATATATGATATATAATATTATGAGACTAATTTTGTATATAAATATTAATATGTCAAATATAATTATTAATAAATTCAAATTTTAATATATTTTAAAAATACGGATCTGGATATCCAGACCTAAAAATTAAAATATATGGATTCTGATTTGGTTTGATCGAATTTAAAATTTTAATATTCAAATTTGAACACCACAAATATCTTTTTTTTGGATCTGATCTGGAGCGGATCTCGAGTCCGATGTGCATCACGGATAATAGAACTCAAGTCTACCAGTACTTACCCGTTCTGGGGCAAAGTGTTTATCTTCCTGATTTTCTGTATACATATGTACTTTTTCTTTTTCTTTTTTTTTTTGTCTGGTTTTATTATTGTATATCGGATATTTGATGCATTAATATAAGAGTCTTTGAGATGTTCCATAACTAGTAAAATATCCTTCTGACTTTCTATAAATAATAAATTATAGTGATACATATTTAGTGGAATATTATACTAATAAATGATACAAAGAATAACACGCAAAACAATTGTGTTATAATAAATTAAATATTCTAAAATATAAATAAACATAAAAGAGGTAAGCTACTTAATAAAATGAATTTGTTTCATTTTAATAGGTAATTATATTTTTTTTTCCTTATAAGAAATTTTGTTGGACAAAACGATTATAGGTTTAAAATTTGGGGTTTTTGCCAAAACTAACCTACAACTTGGTTTTGACTCCAATACTAGACCCAAACTTCAATCAAATGCAAATCTAACCTAAAAGTGGTATGAAATTACAGTATAGTCCTTTGTGACCAAACAAAAAAATAGAAGATATTTTTACGAATTTAGTCCCTGTAAGTTGTCTGAGTCAGATTGAGCTAGTTTTCAGTCGTCTGGACGACTGAAATATTAGTTGTCCGGATGACTTAATCTTAAAAATAATTTATAAATTTTGTAAAAAATATTTTGATGAGTGAAAATTGAAAACTTATAATTATAAACATTTTAAAGTGATATAAATTAAGAAATGATAAAATTGATTTATTTTC